ATTAGCTTTATATGTAAACTAGTACTCTATCACTGGAAATGAAAGATATCTTTAATGCACTATCATCTGCTAGACCTCTGTCGACTTGAGTTTGAAAAATGTTTACCGGTGTTCTTAGGAACAGTTTTGTAAAGTTTGTATGGTATAAGTGATGGAGTTTGACATTGGTTCTCTCTTCTTCTCTGTTCTTGCATAAGCTTCTGATGCACTCAAAAGTAGTTTTATCAATTGGTCACTCTGCATTTGTGAAGGGAGATCAAACCAACTTTGAGATTGAACCATCATTTGGCGTAAAGGCTTCTGAGCTTTACCCTGATGTCAAATACACAACTGTGGATGAGTACCTTAACCTGTTCGTCTGATTCTTCTGCATTAAGCGGCATCACCATGATAAATAATATTACGGATGCCATGTTGGGCCTTAAGATTATGGAAGAAAAGTTGGCTATAATTCTTGCACTAGTACCAGTACACATCATGTTAGTTCGATCCTAGACCTCTTAGGCACCTGTTGAGATCTCTGTGATGTATTAAGTTAAAACACAGAAGCATTTTCTTGACTGCGAGCATAACATTTTTGTTACATTCCTGAAAATTGGAGTGAGGATCCAACTATTAGGCATTAAGCAATGTGGTAATTGCTGCTCTTTTTCTTTGAGGTTTTTCAGCGGATGTTTTTGTGAAGGAGCTAAAAGTTGCAGCCTTCACAATAACCACCACTGATCCAGGTGCGTTGAACAAGTTCTTGCATTGTAAGTCTTGCAGGACATTTTTTACCCAACTAATGAGTTGGTTTAGATCCGGGAGGGTGATGCCGGGAAGAATCTTGAGAAGGTCAAAGTACCGAAGATAGCTTAAAAAACTAAAACAACAATCTTCTCTACGCTGTGTGACGAACATATCTGATTCTTAAGCACCACATTTTATACACAAATATGGTGCAAGCATGGCAAACAAATTCCTCAGCCAATTTAAAACTGGTGCTGGATAAATCTCCTAGGTGGGAAAGAAATCTGGATGAAATCAACATGCAACTTCGGATACGAATCATTTCAATTTAAAAATTTAAATTATAGCTGGGTGAAAGCAACATGCAACTCCAGATACGAATCATCTCAATTTAATTTAAATTATTAAGTAAAATTAAATAATAATATAAATCATATTTTAAAGTCTTACCGATAGTTTAAGTTTTTAGGTTAAAATAGTTCTTTGATAAGATATCAAAACTTATTACTAATAGCTTAAGTTTTTAAGTTGAAATAGTTCTTTGATATAGTATCAAAATCTTAATGATCAAGCAGTTATGAGTTTAAATTTCATTATTTTTATTTATTTGATAAAAATTAAGTATAAAATAATATAAACTTGTGTAAATTTCAAGTTCAAAAAGCTTTTATTTAAAGAAATATATTAAAAAATATGTAAATTTGAAGTTCAAAAAACTTTTATTTAAAAAAATATATTAAAAAATAATATAAATTATATTTTATAACTTGATAACTGAGATTCTTATTCGACAATTTATACCAAAGTGATCTTATCTAATAACTTAAATTTTTGAATTGAGATACTTATTCGACAATTTATACCAAAGTGATCAATCATTTTCGCTTGGAACAATATAACAATTGGCCAATTGAAGGGCTTCGTGAACTTCAAAAGCTTAAAGTCTTCGCCTACCAAAACCTTCTTTTTCTTGTATTTTTTCTTCTGTTAAATCAAGGACCAAACTCTTCATTCAACATTGAAAGGCCACCAACCAATTCAAAGTTTCACCTACCAATTCTAATTCTAGAATCTCAAACACTTGACGACAATTTCCAAAACAAAGAACTTCACTGGAGCTGCTGAGAACTGAAACTGTTAACTAAAACTAATTAAAAAGATTTCCTAAGCAGTTTTGATCCTCCTATTCCTGCGCATTCTAAATAGCATTTTCAGGATATAATCTCCATTTTACCACCTGCAGCATTGTGAATCCTGGGCTTCCTTGCTTTCCAAACAGAATGCAACTAGGATTACCAAGCAGTACTTTTCTTTTCTACCGAAACATCATAGCCCACCAGAATTCAGCATCCCAATCGCCGACTTGTCTGACTCATTATTCGATTTTCTTTCATCTAAAATGATGCCAAAATCCGTAGTTCATCTCAGCAGACACTCCATATCCGGAAAACATGCAGATGATTTTCATAGACTCAGCATTTGTAAAAGGAGATAGCACGTATGCTTTGGAATCAATTCTTCAAAAGGGATCAACGTAACGAGATTGTATATAGGGATATAATAATCCGTTCGATTGATCATGAAAGGAACCCCCCATGATGGACGAACCACATCAGCTCATGTACTGGTGGGCAACTTATCCAAAGTCTCTTTAATTTATCTAATAGATTCTTCTGATGTTAACAGATAACAATTGTATTTATTCGATCTAATTTATTTTGGAATTGTTTACTCTACCGATCTCTCTAGTGGCTTTAAAAAAATATAGGCATGGTCCATAAAAAAGAAAAAAGAAAAAAAGAATAGCAATCGAGACTTAGGCCTTTTCTTTTGGATCCTTCCGATGGTCAAACAAGAGCAACCATCAAGTTAATGCTTTTCACCAAACAAATAGGGGAAATTACGAGTCATTTAAAGCCAACAACTCGAAGAAAACCCCATAAAAGACCACAAATGGCAAAACTAACACCCCCTTGATCATAGATAAAGAGACTATCATGGCAACATGTGACAATCTCTTCATGGTCAAACTGTACACCTGTAATTTTTCAAACATATATTTCCGTACTATAAATAGTTACCTTTAACTTATCTCAATCTCAAACAGTCTTCGAATTATTCTAAAACCATTTTTTTTCCCTACCCAGAAAGTTTAAGCAATGGCGGCGAAAAGTAAGATTCTGTTCATCGGGGGAACAGGATACATAGGAAAATTCATAGTGGAAGCAAGTGCCAAGGCAGGCCACCCTACTTTTGCTCTTGTTAGAAAGTCCAGTCTTTCTAGCCCTGCCAAATCTAATTTGATTAACAACTTCGAGAATCTTGGTGTCAATTTTCTCACTGTAAGTCATTTTCTTCTTTGAAATGTGACAAGTTGTGTTATAAACGATGGTTGTTTCTTTATAATTGTTTGATTTTATTTTTTTTGTAGGGAGATTTGTTTGATCATGAGAGTTTGGTGAAGGCGATAAAGCAAGTGGATGTGGTGATCTCTGCGGTTGGTCACTCTCAATTAGGTAACCAAGACAGGATCATTACTGCCATTAAAGAAGCTGGAAATGTTAAGGTTGGTGTAGAACTTCCTTAATTAACATGCTGTCATTCTTGTCTCGTGCTGGACTAGGTTTTGAGTCTTCTAGAAAACCAGAAACAAGAAGTTAATGATGTTATGAACACAATGGAATGGTAATGAGAACTCTTTGTTTTATCACAGAGATTTTTCCCGTCCGAATTTGGAAATGATGTTGATAGGGTGCATGCTGTTGAGCCAGTAAAATCAGCGTATGCTCATAAGGTTAAACTACGCAGAGTTCTTGAGGCCGAAGGAATTCCTTATACCATTGTGTCAAATAATTTTTTTGCTGGTTATTTCCTTCCAACTTTGAACCAGATTGGAGTTACAGCTGCTCCAAGAGATAAAGTTGTCATCTGGGGTGATGGAAATCCTAAAGGTAATATAATAAATTCTACTGAGAATCGTTTTGTGATAGACTGAAATTCTCTGCTTGCAGTGCTCCGCTTAATTGTTGTAAGAATTTTACATTTTTTTTCCATTTCATGTACAGCGGTGTTTAACGTGGAAAATGACATAGGCACCTATACTATCAGAGCAGTGGATGATCCAAGAGCCTTGAACAAAATCCTCTACATTAGACCCCCAGCCAACACCATCTCATTCAACGATCTTGTGTCTTTGTGGGAGAGGAAGATTGGGAAAACCCTTGAAAGGATTTACATTCCCGAGGAGCAACTTTTGAAGAATATTGAAGGTAGGAATATCATTCCATTAGCTTAATATCCTCATTTTGCAAGCATCAATTTGACCTGTCAGCTAGGATGTCAAGTTTCTGGAAAAATTATAAGAAAAATTGCCTTGTGATGACTTGCTAGTAGTTGATCTAAACAATGTTTTAACAGTCTTTTTCTTAATTTGAGAAGTTTAAAATTGTAACCAAGGCAAGTTTATCAAGTTTGACATTGATTTTGTTCGTTCTTTCTGGTTATGCAGAAGCTCCATTTCCAGACAGCGTGGAATTAGCACTTTTTCACTGTGTCTTTGTGAAGGGAGATCACACCAACTTCAAGATTGAACCATCATTTGGTGTAGAGGCTTCTGAGCTTTACCCTGATGTCAAATACACTACCGTTGATGAATACCTTGATCAGTTTGTGTGAGTCTCCCACAATAAGTAGCATTCACCTTGACAAATAATAGTGAAGATGCCATATTGGCCTAGATGGCGTGGAAGAAAATAAATGGCTGCAATCCTTGCACTAATTATGTTATTGATCGTGGTAGCTGTGAACTAGACATACCTGTTGAGATCTATGCTATGTATTATGTTACATGCCATACAGAATGGCATTAATTTTGAGCACAAGTATTAAATTTCTGTAAACACTTCAACCAATGGAAGCAGATTCAGACCTAGCTGCATTAAACTACCTCGTCCCGACAAATAAAATATTGTGGTTGCCTGCCCATATTCCACTCTCCTAGAGTAGCGATGGTGATGGTTGTCTTCGTTTTCGCTTTTTTAGCAGATGTTACAAGACTGAAACATGCAGCCCTAGCCATCTTCGTTAGAAAGGCAAAATTGTGTTCTTGATAACCAGCAAACGTCTATTAGGAATGTATATTTTTCAAGATTACCAAGGCAGGAGTGCATTTTCATTTTACCGTGGCCTTTATTAGAAGACAAATGATAATCTTCCCCGACCTTGAAACGGGGCATATCAAAAATAAATATATAACGAAACAAAGCAACATATTCTGCGCAGACAAAAGATTCTGGTAACTCTCATAAACATTACAGCAAAATTTATACGCCTCGACAGGCTTCAAGTCTTACTGTTCCATTGTTTAAATATCATGAGAAACCACCAGGAAAAAACAAAGCTCAAAGAATAATTGTGCAAGAAAGCTGGAATTCGAAGCAACAACTTCATCTTTTCAGATGCAAACCTTTATTCATGCATGCCCATCTTTTTTCCTTTCTTTCCCTTATTTCCCTTGACTGAAGTCTTTGCAGGCCCTTTACCTCTCTGGCCCTTTGCATTCTTACCCTTCTTCAAACCGCCTTTTCCTGGCTTTCCCATACCACGCGCATCCTTTTTCATCCGCCGATCAACGAGAACTTTCCCCTTGCCAACCTTGACTGTAACTCCTTTCTTTGCAACCACATATTCCTTCTTAGGCCTTTTTGGTGCAGCCTTTTTGTATAGCTGCTCAATTAACCTGCCCTTTGAGTGATCAGAGATCTCCGTCTGCTTTGATATATCATTTGCCTTCTTGCGCACCTTCTCAAGCTTCCTTGCAGCTACCCTCTTCTTTCGAGCCTTGGCTTCGGCCACTTTCTTAGCAGGCCGAGCATTTATTTCTTTGAATTGTGCTCGCATAGCAGCAATCTCCTCTTTGGTAACCGGCTTAATTGGCTGGCGGTGTCTCTTCTCTTCCTCCACAAACCAGCCAGGCAGGCCCTCATCATCAAACATATACTTGTTGTACGCATCATCAAGCATCTGCTCCCTTCGTTTTTTTCTAAGCATCTTCTTAGCACAAGCCAATATTTCAGCCTTTGAGTCAACATCATCATCCTCAGAGTCATCTGATGATGAATCATCACTAGAATCTGTAGCTGGAGCAGGGACTATCTCAAAATCATTTTCCGCCAATGAAGATGGGGGTTGAGTACAATCAGACCCTGCAGCATTCTTTGCAGGCTTTTTTGGAGTCGCAATTTCTTTCTCCTGTCCATCTACCAGCATTTCATCTTCACTTTCATACTTCTCCAATTTTCTAGCCTCGGCAGTTTCCAAGTCTCCATCCTCTGCAGCTTTGACAAAGATATCCTGATCAAACCACTTCCTTGTAATCTCTTCTTCAGTTGGTACTTCCCCATCATTGAATGGTACCATCAGAGGATTTGCTTCATGATCACCAATTTCTTTATCTGAATCATAATCCGAATGAACAATATCATTATCGCCATCACCCTGCACAACCAAAAAAATGAGTAAGCTTCACAACAGCAAGGAAAGTGGCATTAAACACCAAATTCACAGCCAAAATAACCCACCCAAACAATATAGGAGAACATCAAGGCACAAAATGCAGGACATGTTTTGCTAAGGAACAATTGATAGCAAGGAATGTGGGGTTAAACACCGAATGCACAACCCAAATAACCCACCCAGAGAATACAAGAGAACATCAATGCACAAAATGTAAGACACATTCTTCTGAGGAAAAGTTAACCCTTCAGAGTCGTTATCTGAAGACATGGGGAAATTAAATTAATTAATGTCTCATTGCAACTTAGAAGTAGAACAAAATAGAAGAGCTTTATACCTCCAAAAGTTGTTCAGCATAGGCTTGCTTTGCACGTTTTCGCTGTTTTGTACTTCCATCCCTTTTGGTCACAAACCTTTCATAAGCCTGATCAAGGATCTCTTCCATTTGTTCATCAAATCTAACATCAAAACACAACAATGAATTTCAGAATAATTTTAGAGGTTGCATTCTTCAAAATTATATCAGTAGTAATGCAAATATATTAGGAACTACCGTCTGCGTTCCTCATCAGAATCTACATCACTGGGTGAATGCTCCTGGGTTTCCTCATCAGTTTCTTCATTTTCACCATCCCTTAAGCCATCATTCTCATGATCATAGTCAGCAGCATCAACAGCTACTAAATCTTTCTTTCCCTGAAGGAAAATAGCAAAAGAAATTTCAGAATATGACTGTGTTTGAGATTGTGATGTAGTTACGAAAGAAATTTCAGACTATGACTGTGTGACTGTGTTTGAGATTGTGATGTAGTTAACAAGAAGTTGGTTTCAGCTAAAAGGTAGGTTAGTAGTCCCAAACAAGCATTCAGCATTTCAAAATGATGTAGTTTTTTTTTTATTAAAAAAAAAACACCATGGTTTTGCCATTGTCTGAAGAAATCTTTACTGGGATTGTCCATATCCAGTTCAATGAACCACTTTTTATGACCGAATGCTGCCACTTCAGTGAGCACAGATTCATATTTAAAGAATCCAAAGCATATAACCAAACTCTGCATCCAAGATAAAAGGCACCAAATTTTTACTTATATGCACTTATTGCAATAATATCTGGGATTCTGAAGAAAGCTTCCTCACCCGGAAGGATTAGGAGGATGGTGAAAAGAACCATCAATAATTGCTTTGGCTTAATGCAATATTTTGATGCAAATCAGACATCTGATTTAACTTACAATACTAACAAAGACAAACAAAGAATATAAAGAAAGTTAAAAAGAAAGCATGAAAGTGAACCTTGATGGAAGAAAGAGAGAACAATTCAAGATCAGTGTAACCATCTGCTGTTGCATCGATTTGCATACCACCAGTTGCCTTCCGTACTTTATCCTGATATTTTCAAATATAGAAGCAGTAACACATGAGCTACAGTAATAGATATCAATAACTGGAAGAGCATGCACAATCAAAAATCAACCTTGGCTCGTCTTTTTGCAAGAAGTTTCTTTTCTCGTTTCTTCTTCCTCTCCATAGCATTTGTCAGGTCCTCCATTTCATTGAGCAACCTATCATCTTCATCCTCCTCTTTTTCATCTTCATCACCTTTTCCAATAGAAGGACTAGCTTTCTGAGACGAAGACATGGCCTTTCTTATTTGCATCCGCCACCTACATGATAGAAAAGTGTAACGACATTTTATTTTATCTAATGCATATTAATAATAAGGCACAATGAAGAAAGTATAATACCAGAACATGCAAAAGAGTTGTTTATTATACATCAATTACATTCCTTTGCATGCATCCGCACAAGCTTAACATATTTTCATTTCTGATAAATGGCATCAGAACACTAATAAGATTTGTTTCAGACCCACACCCACTCCTAACATATTTAGGTAAAACATTTTCTCCCATTCTAAAGACAACTACTGATAATGAATACACAGGTGTATTCCGGAAGATTTTTCAAAGAATAGGGTGTGTGGAAAATTCATCTCTATTTTTTTCTAGATGCTGGAACTTCACAGATCATCTGAAATAATGGTAAAGAGTTGAAACATTAAAAAATAGAGGGAGAGGAGAGAGACAGCACACAAATCTTACTTCAATAGATGCTTGAAGTCTTGTTTTCCCAAAACACGCAGATCATCACAAAGATCTTTAACCTGGTCAGATGGATAGTTTGTTTATTAGTTAAAAAACAGAAGAGAATACAAACTTTGATGGCAAAAAGAATAACAGAAAAGAATACCTCTTCTGTGGTTAAATCATGATCACGCAAGGGTAAAGAAACCTCATCATCAAAGGCTATTGAAGTAACAGAACCAAGGATCTCAAGAGGGCTGTCAGACCAAATGAAATCAGCTGCTGAGTAAACTTTTCTGACAATGGACTCTCCATCTTCATACCTGTAGTTTGATTTTAACCATATCATTACATAGAGCTATAACAATACATATTGTTTGTTTTGAACAACCACCAACAGATATTCATATGCACTAAATATTTCATCTTCATTTGCACCAACCAGAGCATTTCATCTTCATTAAAATTCCTAAACTTACAACTTTAATAAGAATGAAAAATTTATGCCTTATCCTGAGTGGAATACATGGAGTAACAAAAACTGGCATATTATCATTCATCTGGCTGAATGAAGAAATTCACAAACTAATGAGAAAACATACCCATCACGATGCCGCTTCTGCTTTGTTCCTCGAAGGACATCCACCACCTACAGCACAATATAAACAAAACACAAATCAAAGTACAGCAGAAAAGCGGAAAAGTAGGGTTGTTGCAAAGAGGGGAAAAAACAGAAAAGTCATTCTTCATGTATAGCAGATGATTACCTTCCGTTGGGGTTCATCAGATCCCTGAAATAAATGCTTTACATCTAGAAGACGAGGATCAATCTTAGCAGGGGCCTTGTACCTTAAACCCAAAACGAATATTTCAGCAGAAGCTGAACGACTTGCTGCTGGTTTATCTACCTCGACCTTCTCAAATAACTAGAGAAAAACAAAACAGATACCACCATCACTTACACCAACTAATCACTGAGACATAAGAAGGACTTTCAAAAGAGATTCAAAACTCACCTGATTAAGACAATAGATGACAGAACTATAATCTTGGGACCTGAAAACCTAAAACACAACCAATAAGCACTTAGCATCTGGACACAGTAAATTGAGATAAATATGAATAGACATTAAAATCGATAAGCTTTATTTTATGATATGTATGGTTATTCATTTATAACAAGACCAACCAAACACAACAGCAGAAAGTTCCTCCTTTTCTCCTCCAATTCTCTCAACAACCAAATTCACCCCAATGAAAAAAAAAAAATCTTAGTCAATTTCCCACGTGTCATTTTAGCTAATTACTCATTTCCAACAAAAGCAATCAAATGAACCTCACAAATAGCAAAAAGTTCTCTACTTTGCCCTCCAATATGAATAACAATAAACATAATAGCTAAATTCAATAAAACACAACATCAAAAACTAAATAAATTGCACCCAAAAAAACCCCCTTTACCCTCTAATTTTATCAGCAACCAAACATAATTTCTAGTTCAACAAAACCCAAGAAAATAAATCTTACTTTAGTAACAAAAGTTCCTTTAGGAGCCAAGAACTGAGTAGCCAATCTAACAGAATCGATAACCAGAGAATTTTGAGCCATAGCCTCTTGAGACCAAGCACCACCAATATTTGGTGACCCATCATGTAAAACCAAATCAAAAGCTCTAACTCCATGTTCTCCCATAATTTTCTTAATCTTAGCCCTACACTCAGGCTTGGTTATATCCTGCTCTATCGAGACAGCCCCTCGTAAAGGCGCGATTTTAACTAAATCAATGCCCAGAACAAGACTTCCTACAGGCACGCGCTGCACTGCCACCTGCATCCACCCACCAGGTGCGGCACAAAGGTCAAGCACGGCGCGTGAGGATTGGAGGAACTTGAACTTGGTGTCTAGTTGAATTAGTTTCCATGACGCACGCGATCGATAGCCATGTTCTTTGGCTAGTTTGTAAAATTTATCCAAACGATGCTTTCCCTTTACTTTTCCCATTGTGATTTACGGGTCTTGGAGATTTTGATAAAAAAACAGAGGGAGAATTTTTTCTTTTTCTTCTGATGGTTGCTGGTAGGGTTCAGTGTTACAGGAGGAGGGGTTTAGCTAGGGTTTCAAAATTTTAAGAACAAAGAGGAAGTGGCGCAGTTAATAGAACTATTATCTAATATAATAGACCCACTGGACCCAAAGCCCATAGTTTAGATTGTTAAGGAATGAGGATTAATTAGGTTGGGCTTGGCCCAGTGAATTGCCCAGCTTGCCAGTTTTCCATGACACCATCAGAAGATAAGATGAACTAGTGTCACTGCAACAAGAAGTTTACATTGACAACATTCTAAGAAGCCAACTAAAATCGACCTTCCTTGTCTGCCATCAAAATAGTGCTCAGGCAAGACTGAACTTTACATGTGTAAGTACATGTTAAAGCTCATCGTAATAAGGGATGCCCCTCAAGAGGAAAACGTTAACGTCTACATTTCACGCGT